GGCTCGGAGAAGGCAAACGGGGAATGATTGTAATTGACTTTCAGAACACAAGAAGTAGGAGCACTGGATGAAATTACTAGGTGATCTGTTCAAAACAAACAAAACAAGGGCTCTTCTTTACACCCTGCTTTGCTGGAGCCTGCCTCTAATTGTCACAGGATGCTGCAATGTCAAGAACTGATACAGGCTCAAAAAGCAATTACACAAATTCATGGAAACAAAAATCTATCAACGGCTATTAAAGATACCACATCTGGTTCGGGGAGCCGCAGCTTGCAGGAGTTTGGGACAGTGTGCCAGGGAGCCATCACTATGTGCTCAGCCTTCTCTTCTGCCATTCCCTAAGCATCAGCTGGTTTTTATGCAAGAGACAGGCTGCTGGGCTGGATGGACTTGTCTCAACCAGTAAGGCTGTTCTTATGTTTGGATGCCAAGAAATCAATCTTTCTACATCCAGCCAGTCGGAAATGATGCCCTTTCTTTCATACAAGGACTTGGGTAAGATGGTTTGCGAATTTGTTCTCTTGATTATTGTAATCACCTGTAATGGGATTTGAAGTCTGAAGTCTGAGGCAGCGCAGACGGTGCCCTGTGCAGAACGTGTTCATGCATCTGCAAGGCATGAGGAAAGACAGCAGATGCTCCTAGCCCCTCTTCCACACACCTCAGTCTTCAAAGCCTGAGCAGACCAGGGTTCACCGCATCCCAGAAATCCAGCTCTCAGAAAGCTCAGAGATACACTCTGACATCCCACTTTTGTGGGACCGGAGCTGACAGCTGAGTATGGGAGAGCTCGAGCAAAATCCCTAGTGAGCAAGGAAGCAGTTTTCTAAAGGTAAGGGGGCTGTTTGCCTGCTCTGCTGACAGATACAGACTGAGATCAGCATGTCTGGGTCTAACTGTGACTGCTTCTTGTGCTCAGCAGCTTTCTGAGGCTCTAAAACCAACACAAAACCAGTCTCAGACGTCCTTCCCAACTAAGCCACATGTCCCCTTTGCACTGCAAAGGTCCAACTTGAGCCCAGGATGGCATTTTGTCACACTTTAATAGCAGCACAGCCACAGAGCCCCGGAACTGCATCTCACAGAACACTGAACTGTGTTTGGGACAACCACATTAATCAGCGTTCCAGGGGAAATTATGTATGAACTAATGGGTCTCAGGTGCTGCTAGCTATAGTATGTGGCAGTTAAGGTTAACTCCAGCGTCTTCTGCCTTTTAAAGGGCGATATTCATGCCAGGACTGCTGTTGAATTTCATTATCACTGCCTGGGACTGGCCACCCTGGTTTCCAGGAGCGTCTGTGAGGATCACGCACCCCCGAGGGCTTAAACACTGGGTCTCAGCTGGGCTCTAAGCCCCCCCCCCCGTGAGGGACGGAGCCCCCCTCGAGGACTGGCACCTGCAGTTACTTTTACTTATTATTTATTAACGGACACGGCCCCGAGCCGCCCCACAGAAGGGCCCGCGGAGAGGCAGCGAGCGCTGAGGCGACCTCAGGGCGCCGCCCACCCCGCCGCTCCCGCCGGTCTCCCGGCAACGCCGCGGCCCGCTCCCCGCCGCCCCTAGGGGGAGCCCGGCGGCCGTTGGCCGTGCGGCAGCCGCTAGCGGGAGAGCGGGGACGGCGGGCGCCATGAGGGCGGGCGGGGGGCGGCAGGGCTTCACGGGCGGGACGCTGAGGAGGGCGGGCTGCGGGAAAGGGAGTTTTCCCGTGGCTGATAGACAAGCGTCTCAAAAAGCCTCGGAGGGGTAAAGCGCACATAAAGAGCAGCTCTGGTCTGGCATTATGAAAACACAGCTGTCACCGGCAAAAAGAGGCAAAGAAATCCCTTTTCCAGCTATTGAACTTTCCAGCAAGAATCTTCAGTGTGTGGATATAACTAATTCATGCAGTGTTTCCGCGGGTGTTTTGTTTAGGCTGTCCTGGTTCAGTCCGTCCCTGCATCTCTCCTCAGCAGTCTTGCTCCGGCAGCGCTGCCTCCTTTTGCAAGAAGCCCAACCCGCCGGTCTGAAGGCTGCTGCAGGGAAGTGCTCAGATGGTTGGACGGTCTTGAAAACGCTCTGCTGAACACAGGAGCTTCTGAAGTACGTGTGACTACTGATGAAACACCAACATAAGATGAGCTGGATTAGGCCAGCACTGGTGGTTTCTTGATTCTGCAGGCTGGAGAGCAATATTCAGCAATATATTTTACCTGAGAAGTGCTAATTTGATTCAGTACACTCTTGCTTTGGCCCTGAGGAAAAGTGATCCCTGCTGTAATATTGCACCCTCTGTGCCATGCCTCTCTTACTCACCTGTCGTACAGCTACCCCTACAGTGTCTATAGAAGGGTGCGAACATTCCCTACCTTTGTGTTGCAGATGATTGCATCCGAATGCTTCCATAACAAAATCCAGTCATCAGCAGACAAGTTATAAACAAGGTTTTCTTTCCGTCCACAGCCCCACTCTGGTTTGAGAGTGTATCATTAAAATGATTGGGTAACATATTCATCCACAATGCTGAAATTAAACTTGACCTGTGTAATCATATCATAAATAGCAATTGGAGGGTGTATTTTTCTTCATCTGTCAACCACAGATCTCACTGAAAATGTGTCGGCGTCGGGAGAATAGTTCTCATTGGTGAGAAGAGGGACTATTGGTAGAAAAGGTGCAGAACATCAAGGTGTACATGTTATCTTGTGCCTGAACATACTGGCGTGAGCGTTATAAGAAGTTACCACGAAAGGCATTTATCATTATGTAAAATTTCAAGCAGTGGATCTGACTGATGCTAGTCTCCAGTCTCTGTCTTTAACGTTTCTGCTTCCTACTTTGCTACACGGTTAACAAAATATTTGAAAAACAGAGCTTTGCAAAAATATCTGAGAACTACTATTACATTTGGGACAGGGAGAAGGAACATGAGCTTTTGGTGAGCCCTACTGCATGGTGAGGGTGCCCCTTTTCTTGTGGGAAGACTTCTACAGCAACCTACAGCAACTGCCAGCACTTGGGAACTGCCCAGCTGCCCTCGCTCTCCTCAGTAAACAAGAGGAAGGGTAAAGCACCTTATTCCCTCTTCCTAAGGGCTACTGGCATGTGAACTTGAAGTTATAGTACAGTATGTGATCTTTGCTTACTCCTTTTTTATGTTGTTTACCCACACACACCCTGGAATGTCAAACTGCTTTCTTGACACTGTGCTTGTTTAGCAAAATACCCGGGGAAATACATTCGCATGTATTTGTCATTTGGGAGGCTGAAGACAAGTGCTTCAAATGAGCCTTTTGCAGTCAGTTTGGCATAACTTTGAAGAAGGTTAACTGGCTGGGCCTGCCCTTGTCAGAGTTTGAGAACCCCCTGTTTGTACACAGAATAAGATATAGCTGTCCCATCTTACACGCTGCTCGAGTGGAGAGTATCATACAAGGTCAGACAATCCTCTGTGGAACTTAAGGGTAGAAAAGACATGAAAGTACAATGATTTAATAAAGTGTCGGAAGGAATAGCATTAAAAAAAACTATATGCCATGTAATAGCACAGTAGAAAGCAAAACAAGAAACTTCTAGGCTTCTTTTAAAAAGTCTGCCTTCTCTGGCATAGAGTGAGACAGAACTGATCCATCCAGGTGGATTGGAAAGGTGCTTGCTAGAGGTCCATCACAAAATTGTGCCACGTATCTATTGCTGAAGTATTCATCCAGTAGTGTTAGTGTGAGAAAGAGTGAAAAAACATACTGTGGTGTTTTTCACAGAATGGTCCAGGTTGGAAGGAGCCTCAGGGATCATGTAGCACCAACCCCTGTTCCACAGGCAGGGCTGCCAACCTCCACATTCAATATCAGACCAGGCTGCCCAGGGCCCCATCCAACCTGGCCTTGAACACCTCCAGGGTCAGGGCATCCACAGCCTCTCTGGGCAGCTGTTCCAGCACCTCACCGCTCTCATAGTAAAGAACTTCCCCTGATACCCAACCTAAATCTTCCCTTCTTCAACTTAAAACTATGTCCCCTTGTCCTGCCATTATCTACCCTTGTGAAGAGTTCTTTTCAGGGGACTCTTTTAATGTAACTCATGAGAAAGGCTATGCAAGATGAAACAGTTAGGAGACTGTGTCCCAACTTTTGATGGATATTATCACACAAATTTTTGTGAGCAAACAGCAATGAGCAACAGATATTAAACACATGATTTGGCCTGATATGTTATTCCAAAAGGAAACGTAAAGCATAGAAGTTATTATTCTAGATAGCAGCAAAAATTTAAAAAACAACACCCAAAAAAAACCCCATTAGAAAATATTGTGGGTCATACTACATCAGCAACATGCTGACCACGCTGGTTTCAAGCTTTTGTTGCCTTTATAGCTGGGAAAGGTTCAGAATTTATGTTTCACTGGAAGTAGTTAAATACAAGGAGAAAGCATTTATGAAATTTTCTGAAAAAGAAAGAAAATTTTGAAAACTGAAAGCATGCTTCAGAGAGAAGAAGGGGCTTTCTTGAATTCCAGTGTTCTTTTAAAAAATACTGAGGCTAATTTCTATTTAGGGATTACTAGTAGTGACAGATAAAGACAATAATATCCACTTAGGATAACTGTCTTCTAGTTCAGAGTGTCTTCCATTTATGTTACAACATGCTCAAACTGTCAATATTATTTCATTACAACGTAAATAGGAGACATGAGTATTACAGCTGTTTTGCTACTAGATAGCAAGAGTCTTTAGTGATATGACAGTAAAATTAAACCATTTTACAACTGTCAAGTTATCACATAGATAGTAATAATGCATACGCATGTCCTATAGCTATGAACACACGCAGACATCTTGTAAAAAAGGTTTCTCCAAACCTTAGCCATTAATGTTTAAATTAGCCTTTAAAATAGCATATTTTTTTTTTAAGTGTCTAATAGTTGCATTTAGAAATAGCTTAGGCATAGGAAGTTTTATGGAAAACTGATATTTTTTCCCCCCAGAGCTTTATCACCAGAAATTGTTGATAAAATACAGTCCTGCTGCTTCTGTCTGTGTGGGTATTTTAAAACGAATTGATGGCGTTCCAAATTTTCCAGGCTGCCTCTTCAAGCAGCCCCAGCAGAAGTGTGGCTGAAAGGCTGCTGTCTCTGGTTATTTGTTTGCAGACTGTGAGAGATGGCCAGGTTGGCCCAGCAGAGAGGCTTCCACTTCAGTTTGCAGGTCTGCCTGTGGAAGAAGTCCGAGGAAAAAGTATGTGCCTGGCACAGATTTTCATCTTCTAGGCATCAGCCAAGCCTCATTGAGCCCTAGGAAAGAATCAGTTGACTGCCATTCCTGTATGTCCAGCTTTTCAAAACCAAAACTCAAATCCTACCTGTGCCCACAGATTGCGTTTGACTTGTAAGACCGCAGCACGATGGAAACTGCCTGCAGATCTCTCTGAGCTCTGGACTGCTGCTGCTAGCTTCTCTCAATCACTTTGGTAATTTCACACTGAAAATAAACAGAAAAACATTTTAATGTTTAAAATTTTCTAGAGTTGATGTGTCTGTTCTTTAAAGGGGTGATTTTTTACATCTTTTTAAGAAAAATTAAAAAAAGTTTTAAAACATTTTCTAAAGCAAATACTAATCCTTGTGTGGCCAGATTACACCCACTAACTAACAGTGGGCTTATTCATCATGGTTACCCTCCTCAGATCTCCTTCAGAAGTAAGCCGTAAAGCAGAAATCTGCAAAATAAAGGTAAAAAATACCATCTCTCCCTAATGAGATCTTACTGGAGACACAGGATGCTCAGGAGTTCCCATCTTAGGTCAAGCAAAACTACATTGCTGGCAAGCTACATTCAGCACAGAATTATTTCTTCTTCCATGAATTATTTAGTGTACATACTGTCTTTTCAGAATAAATATGCACAAATCCAAACTAAACAGAGCTTCAGTCACTAGGGTCTCCGAGTAACACCGCGATGCAAATGCTAAACAGTAATCATAAGGCTCTAACTACAGTCAGCTTCCCATTTGCTAGATGCAGATATTCAAACCTTCTGTTCCAGTGAACATGCTGGGCACAATACAACAGTACATCACAACACAAAGCAAATGATGAGCTGAGATTTGTTAGGTATGTAATGAAGGAGGGAAGGACACTGAAGGGGATGAATTTCAAGTGCAACCAATAAAAATAAGCTCCTTATGTAAGTATTTTGAATATATCCTGTGCTAGCAAGAGAAGAGATGATTTAAATGAAAAGTTAAGCCACTGCAGAACAAAACAAGCTGTGGACAGAGGAATTGTAACTTTATAGGCAAAATTGAATTCAGTTCCAGGAAAAAATGTGTACCAAACATAGCTGTCTTGACAACCCCACTCAAAGAGCTACTCAAGATGGGAGCTTTACGGAGCTGTGAATAAAAAGCCTGCTGAAATCATAAAAGCATCACTCTGAATCTAAGGTGAAAAAGCTCTAAATTACAGTGACATGTCACAACCTGTCAATTTATTAGCAGATGCCTCTAAATCAGGATTAGGAACAAAATATTAAGGCCTTAAAAAAGTGGCATAATTGAACTGTTCTGAAAAGGGAGAGAAAATATACACCAGAGGGTGGGGGTTTCTAGGACTTTTGCTAATGAACTTCAGAAGGATGTAGACAATGAAGCAGATCACAAGCAGCTGATGGCAATTTTTAAGAACAGCACTCTTGATTTTGGGCATATGGGACTAGAAAAAATTGTGCAGTGACTTTCCGAGGAAACACTTTAGCCAGGAGCAGTAAGGAAAAGAACCAGAAAGTGCAAAGTGCTATCTTTAAATCAGAATTTTCCTTTCCCACGGGAGTGTGTTAATATTTTACTTCCAAGGCCGTGCCTGACTATAGCTGCTGGCAATAGGCAGCCTATGTAGTCTGATCTAATGTAGGGGGTCACTGCAGGCAGGAGGGTGCTCCAAGCTGGATGCACACGGAGGCTGAGTAAGCAAGGACGTGGTGAGACTGTACCAGTCTCCTCATGGGCAGTAGTCACAGTTAGAGGGAGGGGATGGTGGTAGTGACTGCTCTAAATTACATCTGTCCCCCTCTGATGAGGTTGTGAATGTGTCTCAGCAGGCTAACAGGTAGTAAGGGCCTGGTGGCTGCTTGTCTCTCCTATTGGCACTGTTCTGCTTTGCTAAAATGCTTCAGTCCGTGCTGGCACCCATGTGTTTCCCCTCTCCAGCAAATGCCCTGAGTCCTTCACTAAAGAGTTATTCTCATGCTCTCTGACTCAGTGAATATTAACACTGCAAGCAAAGTGGAACAGATCCAAAAGGAGAGATTGAGGCAAAATGGCCTCATAAGGCAATCTCCTTGCATTTAGGATACACTTCTGTGGCTGTGGTTCAGTGATACAGCAAGTCCAGTTCCGGTGCTCCTCCTGTGTGATCACACTCAGCTCATCTGGATTTGTACTCCAAGTGCTGACACTGGATTTGCACTACTTCCAAAAATGTTGATGTGCTGTCTTCAACAACAGCTTTATGCTGACTGAGACTGGCTGTTGTCATGCAGCCAGCAAAGGGTCACAGTGCAAGGATGAAGGCAGTGTAAAGATAAGCTCAAGGCAGGTTCAGGAGAAATAAACTTGTCTGCTCCCTTCTGACTTGGATCACGTTGGTACTTCTGGCACATGTACAGATTTGTACAAATCTATGGTTGATCCATGATTCAGATGTGGGAGTCACATTCTCAAATCCTCGCTATGAGAGTAATTGGAATAGAGAACAATTATTATAGAGTTGATTATTGAAGATAACTTGCTCAAGCGGGGAGATCTTTTTTTCTGACCCTGATCAAGAGACTGTCAGCTTAGTGAAAAATGGAAGAAATTAACAACACGCAATCCTGAGAACATCTACTCTGTGGGGAATCTTACGAGAACTTGTTGAACCATTTCCTTCAGAAACAGTTTGAAAAGAAAATGGATTTTTCTTTTGTTCAGCGTGCTTGTGTTTTCCTACAGAAACAAAAGAAAATTGGAAAGCTCAAACTCCACCTTCTGCTGAGGACTGAGCTGAATCGCGTGCCTCAGTTTGAATAGCACGTGCCCATAACTGGATGTTCCATGCAGAGAGCTGCTTACTCTCTGCAGTGCTTGAAGAAAGCTTACCCCTCTTTCAAAGATTAAACCAATTATATACTTTTCACTGTACATTAACTAAGAAATAGTGGTCACAGCAAAAGGGCATTTCTTGAGTATTACTGGCTCACCAGGCGAGTGGATGGCCTGAGATTTCTGACTAAAAGTTGCAAGCTCTGTTCTTTCACAGAGAATTCCATTTAAATTACTTCATATTAAATTCAAAGGTTTTTCATGGCATTGGGTTCACTGCTGATGATAGATCCATGCTCCCAGTTCAATGGGTGACACACCATACTAGAAAAACAGTATTCAGTGGTCTCACCACTGTGGAAGTATTACTGCTGTGAGTGTGACCAAAGATGCCCATTTATTCTGTTGGGGCATTCCGAAATTTTCAACTGGTTCACCTGCAGTAGTGAAGAATTGCTTTCAAAGTTGTAGTTGTATGAGATCATGTCCGACGATCTTTCCTGCTCAGAATCACAGTCTATCACCTACATAAAGATGGGAAGGATGTGGTAGGAATTGGACTTATGGAAGGAATAAGGAAGTATATGGAAACCAGGGACGTGCCTTGCCTAAGAGATAGCAGAAACTTCATGTTGAGTGAGTTGTGATGATAGGCCAAGATAAAATGAAACTCTTTGAGTTTGTTTCCTTAAAAACCAAAAAGAAAATGCAGCTGTTGGGAGTTTTTGCTGTTTAAAGTCCAAGATCTTTGCCTTGACTGAGCAAAGGTTACACTGTATGCTACCTTTGTTCCAGACAGTTTAAAGCCCTGAGTGCTAGCTCCGGAGTTGCTGACCAAAGTAGTGTCTGTGCAGCTCAGTCAGGCCTGGCCAGGGGACCTGTTGTGCACAGCAAAAATGGGTTGGATCCAAAGCAGGGATGCTGGAGTTACCTCTGTTGGGCAAGGAAGTGCCCCAGCAGCTCCATCACACACCTGCCTGTCATTGCTTAGCCGGGATGTTATTTTGCTCTTCGGTTCATGCTTTATCTCCCTCTAGTACTTGTTAGCAAAACAAAAGCAGGATCAGGCCCTAAATTTATGGAAATTAAATGCTGTCAAATCTGTATAATTCCTCTAGGACTTATTCAGAACTTTATTATAGTTGCATTGGAGGCTGATTTGTTCGGAAACAGTAGCATATTTTCTTCTCCCCCCCCATAGCACTTCTATACAAAAACTGATCTGACAGTGAAGGAGACTCTCTGACTGAACTAAGAAAAAAAGCATTTAGACTGCTAAAATACACTACTGGAAATAAATTCAGTGCTATGTTCAAAGTCAGGAGTGAAACTTCAATGAAGATGGTGGGTGAGAAAGCTTCCCTTCCCTAGGAAAAGCCTAAAAATTACCTTCTTTATGGAACATGCTCACTGAAATCCCCAGGAGCCACACACGTACTTCCCACACTGCACACGTCTGGCAGCTCTGAGAGATGGGGGGACCAAAGCATTCCTACAGGATCAGGGCCTGTGGACAAGGTGGGATATGATGAAACTGAGTGAGTCAGAAAGTGACAGCAGAAACATCAGAGTAGCAGACAGAGGAAGTAGCAAGGACACACCGGAGCCAACAAGGAAAACCTTTGTAGCCTGACCCTGAGAAAAAGCAAAGAGGGAGCAAGCTTGAGTTATGGCTCAAAAGAAGCTTGGAAGTGTGAAAAGAGAAAGCACCGCCCATTGTTTTGACTCTTGCTGAGCCCAGAGTAACAGGACATTGTCTGCATTCTTCCTAAATAAGCAGAAACATGGTGAAAAACCCAATTCACATTCTCATCTGTTTGTTCTCCAAACAGAAACAACCTGAAGGGACCGTGAATGTTGGCTAACACCCCGGGTCAAAGAACTACATTAATAAAGGGAGCTTTTTCCTCAGAACCGATTTTGTCTATTATTGCTTCTAGTAAAAGATTGTAATGCTGGTCTGTGATGCTATTGTCATTAGCATTGTCATAGCAACTGATAAACAAGGAGAAAGAGATGTGCAACAACTTTTTTTTTTTTTTCTTTTTAACAGGCAGTCCAAATGTCTTACTAACAAGTAATTTGGTGACAGAATTCAGTAAAGCAGTTGCACAGTAAATGGGTTTATCTTTAAACATAATGCTCTTTTCCATTTTAACTGAGCATAAAATTGTATCTTTAAAGGATCGGTAAACAGGCAGGGCTTCATGCCTCTTGAGCAGATCCATGTGACATATGGTCTTTCCAAGCAAGTTTTATCGGCTGTGCACAGCAGCAGCAGCTCTGAGCTAACGTTCCTGTGAAAACAAGTAAGGTTTTATCCAAAACAGAAGAACGGGAGGAGAAAGGCACCTTTGCCCCACTGTACAGATAAAACAACAAGAAAACAAATGTATCTTAGGTCAAATTTACGCCGTACCTCTATAAATGTAGCTGTGCTGGCAGTAGCAAGTCACTTCAGCGCACACGCAGAGCAGGGCTGAAGGGGTCTCATGCCGGGTGGCTAATGGAGAGACGGGGTGTCACTGGCAACTGGGGCTTAGCCTAAACCTTGCCAGTGTCACCAAGCCTCCAGTTCCCAACGTAGTTGTTATAATGGGTTGCGAGGGGTGCTGCGGAGCACCCAGCCTCTGTGCTCCCAAACATCTTGCTTCATGCAGGTAAAGCGGCTGGGGGCTGTTTACTTAGAAGCAGTGAAGAGCAGGATGAGCCTCATACACAAATACACAAGCCCTGTGTTTATTTTGGCACACAGATCTCGACAAATACTGGCCGAGAATTATTTTTAAGCTCTCTGTAACCTCATCTGGAGACTGTTGCCACTGACTAGCGCTAGAAATAAGCCCTGTAAATTAACTGGTGCTGGCATTACAAATGGGGAAATTAGGCAAAAAAGTAATGGATTGTAGAACACTTCTGCTTTGAGAGGATTTTGCTATAGTAGTTGTACACACACACAAGGGGAATAAACAAACATATGTTTGTTTTCCTGCATGCGCACGCACGTATTTATAGCTGTATTTGTATTGTTTATATTTACAATTATTTTTACGTTTATGTATGCATATGTATAATCACATTAAATAACAGGTAACATCACAGGAGAAATAGAAGTGCAAAGGAAAAAGTTGGAAAAAACATTAGCTCTGGCTCCATTTCTCCACAGAAGGTATATTCTCTTGAATAGCACAATGAGGCTTTTTTAGTAATGAGTGATTTCTCTCTTATTCTTGCAACAATGAGATAATTTGTAGGTTGAGTTCCTCAAGGCCTTCTCACCAACAAGGATGAATTCTCTCAATTTTGAAGTCTTTCACACTCCTCTCTCCCCTCCTGGCTGTGCCTTCCTTCTATCCCCAGTCATGTGTCAGTTTTACTCCAAATACTTTATGAAGTTCAGTGGGATTTTTGTTCTCGATTCCAGCTGCGATCTCTGAACATCAGTTGAGCAAGATTTTTGGAACTGACATGAGACTGAACATGAAGGACAAAGCCATAACCCACCTGTTTACTATAAGCAGCAGATTGAAATGCACTTTCAGGCAAATTTTACAGTTGCAGCAATGTTTTGGTTATAGACAACTGTGATCCCACTAGGGCAGCTGGGGAAAGAGACTGGATCAGAGGAACATGTGGGGCTGAGCTGAGGCACTAACAGTGCAGCCTGTGCATTGTCCCAAGTCCTGAGATTGTAGGGGACGTGGCAGGTGAGATACACATTTGATTTGTGGACTGACACTGCATTTACTAAGAGCATCTGTCTGTATTAACAATATAGTGAAGAGTAGGAAATTACTCTTTTGCAATTCATACAGAAAGAGCAGGCAGAGCCCTACAGAAAACAAACAAACAAACAACACCAAAACATTTGGGTTTTGAAGATCTCCAAGGATGATGACTCCACACCTTTTCTGGGCAACTTGTTCCAATACTCAACAACTCCTGCAGGAAATATATATATTTACAAGGAATTTCATGCATTTCAATTTGTTCCTATTGTGTTTTGTCTTTTCAGTGGGTGCCTCTGAGAAGAGACTGGCTTCAGCTTCCATATCATCCCCCAGCAGATGTTTATGCACACTGATAAAGCTGTCCAGAGCTTTTCCTTCCCCAGATTGAATAGTCCCAGCTCTCTCAGACTCTCCTTGTACCTTAGGTGCTGCAAGCCCTTCATCATCCTTCCGGACCTTCACTGGACCTGCGGCAGTTTACCCAGGTCTCTTGTACTTGGGAGCCCAGAGCTGGACTCAGTGCTCCAGGTTTGTCTCACCAGGGCTGAACAGAGAGAAATCACCATGTATGACCTGCTGGTAATGTTCAGCCTAGTGCAGCCCAGGAGACTGTTGACCTTCTTTGCTGCAAGGATGCATTGCTGGCCCATGGTTAGCTTGCTGCTCTCCAGGATTCTCAGAGCACTTTCTACAGGGTTGCTTTCCATCCAGCTGGCCTCAACCTTTCCTGGTACGAGAGGTTGTTCCTCCTCATGAGGAGGACATGGCAATTCCCTTTATTTAACTTCATGAGATTCCTGTTAGCCTAGTTCTCCAGTGTGTCAAGGTCCTTTTGAATGGATGCACAAGCATCTGGTCTAACAAACACTTTTCTCAGTTTTATAACATCTGCAAATTTGCAGAGGATTTCCTCTGTTGAGTAGCCCAGGTCATTAATGAAGGTGTTAAACTCTACTGGCCTCAGTATCTTCCCCTGAGGTACACAGCTATGACTGGCCTCCAGCTGGACTTCATGATCACAGTCTGGTAAGCCCAGCAGTTCAGACAGTTTACAGTCCATCTCTCTGTCCATTCATTTAGTCTGCAACTCATTCATTTCTGGAATGTTTTGTAGGTGACAATATGGGAGAGTGTGGTGGAAGTCTTGCCAAAGCTGAGATAAATCACATCCACTGTACTCCCCTCATACACCAAGCCTGCCATCTCATCATTGAAATCGAACAGATCGGCCAAGCATGAGAAAACTTCAATTAAAATCTCGCTGACTTGATTGGAGAGAGCTGAATCTATGAAATAATTTATTTAATCATAGAATTATAGAATCAGTAAGGCTGAAAAAGACCTCCACGATTTTCCAGTCCAACTGTCCACCTATCACCAATATTTCTCACTAAACCACGTCTCTCATTACAACATCTAAACATTTTTTGAACACCTCCAGGGTCGGTGACTCCACCACCTCCCTGGGCAGCCTGTTCCAGTGCCTGACCACTCTTGCAGAGAAGTTTTTTGCAATGTCCAACCTGCATCTTCCCTGGTAAACTTGAGGCCATTCCTTCTATATTGTATTTGACTTCCTGATAAAAAAAAGAATATCTCTGAACAAACTAAGTGGGGCTCTTCCAACCAATGCATCTCATATCCTGTGGTTGGATCATGTCTGCTTGCCATTTGTGTGATTTCTTATAATGTTAATGTTATGTTCTAAACCTTAGCCATTCTTAGTGACTACTTACTTATATAATATGGTTTAGTTCCCTGATTCATTTTAAGAGTGAGGATTCAAGTGAATCTCACCAAAATTGGCTTTTATAGAATCACAGGATGGTTTGGGTTGGAAGGGAGCATAAAGATCATCCAGTTCCAATCCCCCTGCCATGGCACTAGATCAGGCTGCCCAGGGCCCCAACCAACATGCTCTTGAGCACCTTCAGGGATGGAGCATCCACAGCTTCTTGAGGCAGCCTGTGCCATTGTCTCACCATTCTCTGACTAAATAATTTTTTCCTAATACCTAATCCAAATCTATTCACTCTCAGTTCAAAGTCCTGTCATTACAGTCTCAAACACTGGTGTGCAGTGAATAAGCACAGTACTTCACGAACATCAACATTTATTAATTTATTATTTTCTCAACTAGGAATTTAGGGAAACTAAGACATGGGCTGAAAGCATTCGCTCACAATGAAAGCTAACACCACCAAGAAGTCTTGATATTTTAATGGAGATCAAATATTTAATAAAAAGATCGTAGCTTGAGGTTTTGTTCTGATGTTCCTACAGTCAAATTTGTCAAGGCACTGTGAAAATCATAGGGAGGCCTTAGAACTTTTGTGTTAATTCTTTCAGTGGATTACCTTTGTATCTGGTAGAATCAGAGCCCTGAAAGAAGAGAACAACTGATGGACCTCAGTTCCATTAGCTGTCCTGCTTCACGCCACTCTCGTGGCCCTGCTTGGTGGGGGCAGAACATCCAGGATCTAAGCTACAGCTCTTTTTAGTTTTTCAACATTTTCTGGAAATGAATATCAACTACCTTAGGCTGAATTAGGCAGGGAGGGGTAGAAACATATTTTGTATCTCCTAATTCTTGTTATCCTTGCAGTAGCTGTCAGTTTTCGTTTGTTCATCGATCATTCAGTAGAACCAGAGCGAGAAGATGAAGGGCCAGTCACCCCTTGATGTTGTTAACAAGCTTGCTAGGCTTTGACAATTTGAATGAGAGATCTCCTGAAATTATGAGTGAAATTTTGAATGTCTCACAGAGCCATAGCACAGAATTCGTTGCTGTCAAATAAGCACTTGTGGTAACATTTTTAATTTAATTTTTTTTTCTTTTTTTATCGCTTGATTCAGCACTCCCCTGTCGTCAGATGAATCAAGTTTTTGGAAACATCTCTTTTATTGTGGACATGCTCAGTAACATTAACACAAGCATTAACAGTCAATTTACCTGCTGATGTTACTCTGGCGCAGCATATTCGTTCTGTCATTTGTGTGCACATGGTCAAATAGCAGGATAGCTTCAGAGTGGACTGAGCTGCTGTTTGCATATTGCTGTCACCACCTGATTCAAGCTAATAATATTTTACAAACCATTCGTTATGTGTTCTCTTTCCTGCCACTGACTGAGTGGTCCATGTGGATTTGAAGTGCTTTATTCCCACAAGAACAAACACCCCAGGGGCATGCCTTTATAATGGTTTTTACTACAGCCACATCCTGACCTCTAGCAAACATTTTACAAAGAGTATCTGTTGAGCCAGAAAAGAGACCTGTGCAGTGGGCAGTGCCACCAGGGCTCTTAAGAAAGAGCTGCTGCTCAGATCAACTGCCTGCCAGTGTGGCTCAATAGCTGCAGCAGCCCTCATGCCTGTCATGCTTGGCAAAGTCCATCACCCAGAGCATAGTGCCCGGGGTTTGTCTGCCTTTTGCTGTGACAGATGTGTTCCAGCAGCCTTTCTGAGGGCTTCCCAAATTCTCTTTTTCAGGATACATCAAGGCATGTTTAATTTCTTCCCATACAGGTTTCTGCTGAGGAGAATGTAAACCACCTTTGCTCAGTTGACCGCAAATCCATTTTTAACATAAAATTTTGGTTTCACAACATAGATGTGTGTGGTGCCAAAAGCATTTTTATGTGAGTAACAGCCACGATAAATTTGATTCAAACAGAACAGGTATCTGTTTCCGAGCCAGCAGTCAAAAACAGATGTAACCGTGCAGTTTATGGCTAACCAGGCAATCCATCAGCACATAGGCTTCAGCTCAGCAAAACATTTTGAGTACCAGCTTAACTTTAAGTGTATGTTTATATACGTAGATTTCAGTGGGGCAGGCACTTGTGCCTAGAGCTATGCGTGATTAAGTGCATCACTGAAAGAGTGTCATTAGGAAAAAAAAATGTAACCATAGGAATTCGTCTAGGGATAAATGTAACAACAGCTCTGCCTGGGT